GGCAGTTATTGTTTAACGGGTACCAAATTTCTGTTTGGGATGATAAAGAAGCTCTGGAAATGGACAGTGGTGACAACTGCACAACATTGTGAGTGTATTTAGTATCACTGAAGTGTACACTGAAAGATGGGTAAGAAGGTAAATTTTGTTTCTGTATATTTTCTCACAAAAAAATGTAAATGGATAAATAAACTCTGGTTTATCCATACAATGAATATTATTCAGTGCTAAAAAGAAACGAAGGCTGAGTGTGGTGGCTCACGCCTGTCATCCCAGCACTTAGTGAGGCTGAGGCAGGTGAATCGCTTAACCTGGGAGGCAGAGGTTGCAGTGAGCCGAGAGTGCGCCACTGCACTCCAGCCTGGGCAACAGTGAGACTGTCTCAAAGAAAAAACCAAAACAAAAACAGTGTCATCGTGTTGGACATAGCGGGGCCCCCTCTTGGGTTTCCTCCTTGAGGCACAGACTCAACAGACTGTTTTACTTTCTCATGCCTCTTTCCAGTTGCCACTTCCTCCTGGCTGGCCTTTCTGCCCCCCAGAATGTGGACCCGCCCCAAAAGCAACCATGCTCTGTGGGGCCCTGTGCAGACCCTACAGACCCAGGCCCAGGTGAGAACAGCCCATCTCAGCATGCTCGCCCTGCGCCGGGCTGGGGACCACGGCGATGGGCAGATCCATCCACATCCTCCAGGGGCTCACAGTGTAGGGGTATGGGCTGGCATTCACCAAGCAACCCCGCAAACACATCCTTAACCCCACAGATACCTGCCCTCCAGAGAACAACAGGGGGGCCATCCTGGTTCACAGGGTCCCTGGTGATGCCCACATTGAGGCCATCAGCCACCCTATCATCTGGCTGAAGCCACTTGCCATGGGCCGCGCAGGGAGGCAGATGGCTGGGGGCTGACTCAGCCCTCACCTGCACTGAGTCCGCCAGCAGCCCCACCATGGTGAGGAAGCTGAGCGCAAGGCCGTCAAGTGACCTGCCAAGGCCACATGGACAGGCCCAGCTGGGCGGTCTGGGTCCAGCGCCTATAGTCCTCTAGTTAAAAGAACTAAGATGAATTAGCCAAGATTCACAGAGCAATCCCACACGTCTGGCACTCTGTGAGCCCTGCGTCTACCTACAACCTTCATCCTTCCAACAGCCCTGCAACATAGGGACAACCACCAGCCCCGTTTTCAGATAGGGAAACTAAGGCACAGTGAGACGATAAGGTACCTGCCCAAGACTGCAACCAGATACGAAGTGACAGATCAAGATTCAGGCCCAGGCACAGCCGTGTTGAGGACCACCTCTTGACATCCAGACATTCTGCCTCTCTAATTAACATGCGACTTCACTGTAATCAGTGACAGCAGTCTACTCCCTGCCAGACCAAGAGACCAAGAGCAGGCCCAAGGCTGTCCTCCCCAGCACTGCCCACTTGGCTAAGAATCCAGTAGTTAGGTGCTCACTAAAGAGTTCTGCAGGCTGGACACGGTGGCTCACGCCTATAATCCCAGCACTTTGGGAGGCTGAGGCAGGTGGATCATGAGGTCAGGAGTTCAAGACCAGCCTGGCCAACACGGTGAAACCCCATCTCTACTAAAAATACAAAAGAAATTAGCTGGTTGTGGTGGCACACGCCTGTAGTCCCAGCTACTCAGGAGGCTGAGGTAGGAGAATTCCTTGAACCCGGGAGGCACAGGTTGCAGTGAGTCAAGATAGCGCCACTGCACTCCAGCCTGGGTGACAGAGTGAGACTCTGTCTCAAAAAAAAAAAAAAAAAAAAAAAAAAAAGAGTTCTGCAATGAATGGTCCAAGGCCCAAGGGCAAGCACGGTAGGTGGACGGTGGCCAGCATCCTGTAGCGGCCTCCTCCTGCCCTGCAAGCCGCTAACCAGGCGGAGCCTCCGCTGCTGCACAGCCATGAGTCACCGTGAGCCGAGAGTCAGCTGGCACAGGCCGCAAGATCTGGGGGCTGAAGCCAGGCTCCGCGGCTTGGGGGCTCTGTGCTTCCTGTGGTTGCGAGTTGTGCACACAAACACACAGCACTTGGAAGCCAGAAAAGGCACGAGAAACGAAACCATCTCAGTGCCAGCTCCCGATAAACAAGTCCCTGAACTGTTTTTATAGGACAAAGGAAGATGGCTTGCTCTGGCACAGACCCGGCAAGCCTTCACCATGCCCTACATCCCTTTTCTTCTTGCCAAGCTGGCACCAGCACTATAGACCCCCACTCTATTACCCCAACATGAACCTTCTTATCAGCTCAGACTGATGCCCTCAGCCTGGCATTCGAGGCCCCATGGGAGCTGGCCCCACCCACTCTCACCCAGCCCTCCAGGCCCATGAGACTTCCTGCGTGGCAGTCCCCAACAGCACCATCCTGTCTGGGAACCTTGCCCCAGGCTGAGAATACCTGTTCCTCGGTTTCCACCTGGTTAATTCATGTTCACCTTGCTATCCTACGTGCAAGAGGGCTTCCGAAGCTCCTGTCATCCCCAACCAATTGGAGTCCAGACACTTGGGCATCAACCTCCACTCCCGAATTTTTTTTTTTTTTTTTTTTAGACGATGTCTCGCTCTGTCGCCCAGGCCGGAGTGCAGTAGTGCGATCTCGGCTCACTGCAAGCTCCGCCTCTCGGGTTCACGCCATTCTCCTGCCTCAGCCTCCCCACTAGCTGGGACTACAGGCGTCCGCCACCACGCCCAGCTAATTTTTTGTATTTTTAGTAGAGACGGGGTTTCACTGTGTTAGCCAGGATGGTCTTGATCTCCTGACCTCGTGATCCACCTGCCTCGGCCTCCCAAAGTGCTGGCATTGATTACAGGCTTGAGCCACCGCGCCTGGCCCCCTCCCGTATTTCTTCCAGAAGCCCCCTTGTCTCAGTGCTCAGCCCAACTAAAACTGCTCACTCGCCGGCACAGCCCGGGGGGTAACTTGTCAAGCACCTGCCCCACACAGACACCTCCTCAGTGTTCTGCAGGCACTGGCTCACATGCGCTGCTTGCAGCGAGGGCTGGCGGGAGGCAGGACCCCAGTTGGTGCAGGGAGGTGGTGAGCCTGGGACTATGGGTCTGCAGCCTTGCAGGGTTGTTCATATGACCCTCCCAGAGCTGTGCTCCAACGGCCTTGGCTCTCCATGCCAAAGACTAAGGCTTGTGAGGGAATGTCTCCAGGCCCAGTGAGTAGACCCAGCAGGTAGGAAGCACACACTGGAAAAGGTGAGGCCTACAATCAGAGCCTTCAGGGACCCCTGCCTGACGTGATCTCCCAGCTCCAGCGTCCCCTTATGCAAGGAAGCTTCCCTGACAGAGAGCAAGGGACAGGGTCCCTTTGTGCAGGAAGGCTTCTCAATGGACAGCAAGGCCTCAGGCTCTGCCAATACCTAGTCCCTGGGACAGGGCTCCCTGGAGACCAGCATAGCTCTGAGTTGTGTCCCACGCATTCTGATGAACTCACGAAGGGAGTTAAGGAATTCCAGAGTGGGCAGGGCACAATTTGACTTTGTTTTCCCATCTGTACACAGACAAGATACTCCACGTGTCCCCATCTGATCATTTTCTTTTTTTTTTTTCTGAGACGGAGTCTTGCTCTGTCGTCCAGGCCGGAGTGCAGTGGCGCCATCTCGGCTCACTGCAAGCTCCGCCTCCTGGGTTCAAGAAATTCTCCTGCCTCAGCCTTCCCAGTAGCTGGGACTACAGGTGCCTGCTACCACGCCCGGCTAATTTTTTGTATTTTTAGCAGAGACGGGGTTTCACCATGTTAGCCAGGATGGTCTCGATCTCCTGACTTTGTGATCCGCCCGCCTGGGCCTCCCAAAATGCTGGGATTACAGGCGTGAGCAACGGCGCCCGGTCCCCATCTGATCATTTTCAGACAGGAATCACCCAACATAGGGTCCAATGCACAGTAAGTGCTCAGATATGAGAGCCACAAATAAGAAGGGTTAGAAGGCAGGACAAGGGGGAGCAGGTGGCAGCTGGGGGGTCTCTTGTGGCCTAGGCTGGAAGTCTCTTCTGACCTGGTGTCCTGGAAGTCGTCAGTTTCCAGCCCATGAGATCCTATTTGTGTGCAGGACCTAGGCTGAGACTCAAGTGAGAGCACTGAGAGAGGACTAGGGACTTCTGGGGCCAACCTGAGCCCCTGAGCCAATTCTGCTCCATGAAGCAGAACAGTGAGAATGAAGTACAGCTTCTGGGAACCCCCATACTCCCTGACCGGGCTGCCATGGGGTCCTTTACCAGCCCATCACCCTCATGGGGCTTCTCCAACAGGGGAAGGTCCACAGAGCAGGGTCACCCTGTTTGGGATCAGGAGGATGGTGGGCAGGTCCCCAGAGAGGCCCTGGGGAGGAAGGCTGGGCTGGGGCCACTAGTGTGGAGCACAACAACACTGGAGGGTCCAGTCGTTGTCCCCGATTCCCTTAGGCCTAAACAGGGGCAAGACCGTCGTGGACCCCCAAAAGAGTCTGGGAGGCTCCAAGAGTCCCACAGAAACCACATGCAGCCGAGGAACGCACCGCCTGTGCTGCGAGGTCGTTGGGGTGGTTGCAAGGATGGAGCGTTGTTTCCGTGACCAGAATCATAGCAGGACCGCTGTGAATTCTCTCTGTTGTCATTTCTACCACCTCCTACTCTTTCATACCAAATTCCCCACCACGGGACACCTCCCAACACACAGACTGGCAGTGGCCGAGCCCAGACCCTGGCTGTGCAGCCCCACCCTGGAGCTGTCTTGTCGCCCCCGCCCTTTTCAGGCCCCGCACCTGGCCACCACCCATCGTGCCCCACCCCGCCTCGGCTGGCACGGCCCCGCCGGGCAGAAGCCCGGGACACCCACCACCTCGCAGGGGTGCACCCGCGCACCACCGGCAGCTGACGGGCCAAGGTCACTCGGCCCCCGCAGCCCAGGCGCGGCCTGCAGGCAACTCGCAAGACAGCCGGACCCTCCGGCCGGGCCACCCATCCAGGGCGCCCGCATCCCTGCCGCCCAGCCAGCCCCGTGCCCACCTGTCATGGCGACGGACACAGCGCCGCCCGCAGTCCCCAGCTGTCTACCCCTCCGCGCGTCAGCCCCTCGGTCAGCCGCCCAGTACAGCCTTTCCAGTGACCGCCGCCCGCGGGCCGTCCTCGCCCGCCCCTTTTGGCTAGGCCCGTCCCCCGACTTCGGCGGTGTAGACTCGGGGGCTCTAAACCCCGCCCCTCGGCGAGCCCTGCCCCCTTCCCGCTAGGCCCCGCCCCTTCCGCGCCCACTACGGCGCCGCCAGGGCTCTAAACTCCGCCCCTCACTCGAATCCCGCCCCCTTGCCGTCCTGGGATAGGCCGCTACGAAGATCCTTGAGCCTTGCCCCTCACTCGAGCCCCGCCCCCTCCGGAATCGGCTTCCGCGCCTCCAGGAGTCCTGAGCCCCGCCCTGCACCCGAACCCCGCCCTCTCCGACGAAGGTTTCCAAGCTTCAAGGACCCACTGGGCCCCGCCCCTCACTCGGGCCCTGCCTCCTCCGGCACGGCTTCCGCGCCTCCAGGAGCCCTGGGCCAGCCCCTCGCTCGAGTCCCGCACCCCTGCGGCGTCGGCCTCCGAGCGTCCAGGGGCCCTGAGCCCCGCCCCTTCCTGCTATACCCAGCCATTGCGGGCGTGGGCGGGCGCCACCGGACCGCCCGCCCGCCCCTCCCAGCGTCCGTTAGGGCGCCGCGAGGGGCCCAGAGTCCCTCCCCTTGCTGGGCCTACAACGCCGTCGCAGCGGCCTTAAGCCCCGCCTATCACTGGAGCCATGCCCGCGTCCGAGTCCCACCCTCACCGCTGCCAGAGCTACGGCGGCCGCGCGCCTTCGTGGCCGCGCCCGCTCCTGCCCGGGGCCCCGTGTGTCTTGGGCCCGCCCTTCCGGGCGCTGCCGCGCTGGGTGGCGGAGTCGGGATCCAGGTGGCCCGGCGGCACCCGGCCCAGTCCACCGCCCCTCCCTCGGCCTCGCGCCCCACCCTTTGGCTGAGGAAACAGACTGAGAGGGGAGGTGACTGATCCAGGGGCATACAGAAATTCAGGCCCTGGGGAGTATAGGGCCAGGCCTGGGGCAGAAGACCGGTTGGCGTCCAGTACGCCGCAGGGACCCGCCAAAGGAGACAGTGCCCAGTGATGCTCTCCCAAATCCAGGGGAGAAGGACTCAACGGTGTGACCTCGGGGTGGGAGGAGGGGGGTGGCCACGCCTTCTTGGGGGACCCCAGTCCCCCACCTTCAAAAGACACTAGCTTGGCAGTGTGACCGTAACTAGGGAGGTCACTTAACCTGCCTGAGCTTCAGTTTCCTGGACTGTAAAATGAGTGATCTCGGGCAAACTCTCCACCTTCCCTCCCGCTTTCTGGCCTTTCCAGCTCCGGTGCCCACCACAAAAAGACGCCAGCCCCATATGATGTGAATGCACTGGGCCCCAGCCAGGAGATGGAGACCCGTGAAGGGAAGCAAAGCAGCGCCTTCCCAGCCAGCAGCAGCAGCTACCCCTCCCATTTCCTTCTTTGCCTGTGTGGGCCGTTCCCTCATAGCAGCTCTAATATGAGATGCTGGAGCCTGACCCAGAATCGGGGCCCAACACAGTATCCCCTTCTCGGACAGCACTGTGGTCCCTGCAGTTCATGCGCCGTCTGTCTCTGTGCCTCAGTTCTCCCCTGTGCCATGACCTCCCATCAGGGCCAGCATATGGGGCATCAGGAGAATGGGTGCAGTTGTCACCTGGAAACCTCAGAACTCTTGGGGCCCAGTTATGGCCATACACAGCAGCCACCCCTGTCCCCAAACACTGAAGGTGAGCCCCTGCCCAGACTCCCCAGGAGGCCAGGCTGCCATCAGACCCAGCCTGCCCCAGGCCTGTGGACAGGGCCAGTCCCAGGGCAGGAGGGTAGTGGCCCAGCCTGTGGGTCCCTCCAGGCCTCTCATCTGCTTGTGTGCCTGAGTAAGTCCAGGCTGGCTCTGGGCTCCAGGTGCTCCCCTGGAGGACCCAGAGGGGGCTTCCCCAGAGGGCCTCTTTTGCCCCATGGGATGTGGCCTGACGCCAATTCTTCTGCATCCATCACACCGTTATGGCGTCTAGTACTTAGCTCTCTGGGTTTATTTTGCACACACTCCTGCCCCTGAGTGATGTCAGAGCCATAAGGGTGGGGACAGAGTGGAAGGGAGACACAGTGGGGACCACAGTGGCTCCATGCACTGCCCACCTTCAGGGAGCCCTGACCCCAGCCCCTTTTGGGAAAGCTAGCATCCCACCTTCACAACCACTCCTGCACCCCCAGCACTGCCCCGACCATGTGATGGACAGGGAAACTGAGGCTTCGAGCATGAAGCCCCTTGCCCAAAGTCTGGCAGCCAGGTGTGGCCTCCCAAGTACAGGTCGCTGCTCCTCGGCCACCTGAGGGTTTGAAGAGGATTTACTTCAAGGAACCCAATCCTGCATGCAGGGACTCAAAAGCCCTGTGCCCTCTGGGATGTGCCCTCCAAGCCTATGGGATGGAAGGTCACGGCAGAAAGCAGGACAGCTGCTAGTGCAGCCAGGGGTCTACAGCCCAGATGCCCACCACGGGGACTGCAAGCAGGCATGGACACCCCCATGGTCAAAGGGTAGGTCCTGGGCATTCCCCCTCCCCCAGGCATAGCACACGCATCCTCCCTCCTGGCTAGCTCTTGCCAGCTATGGCTGCCTGGACCCCAAATGGAAAGTGAGTTCCTGAGAAAGTCGGGGGGGCCCCTTAGGAGGAGTGAACTGAGGTGTGACAGGAAGTCCTGCCCTTGGACACTGTCAAAGAAAAACCAGAGCTGGACTGTGGTTACAGATGTAAAAACAGATTTTTATTCAGGACTCTTGTGATAGGGGAAGACAGACATCAGCAGAGAACTGGGCTCAACTCCGAATACAGCAAGGACACTTGGGACAGGAGGCGGCTTTGAGGATGGAAAATTAGGAAGAGGAAACATCGGGGTGAAGGGGATTCCGGCTGACAGAATTCTTGCAAAGACAGCCTGGGCTGATAAGATCTCACCCAGAGGATGGTGCAGGTGAGGACCGTGATGGGGTATCAAGGGTGACCAGGTATCCAGGGTGGGGAGTTCTTGCTAAACTCACTAGGAGGATTCTTTGTTGAAACTGGATTTTACAAGGAAGTTCACAGATGGGCCAAGGAGAAAGTTCAGGAGACTGACTAAAGTTTGGTCAAGCAGAGAATCTTTGTGAATGTCACAGAAGCCAGGGCGCTGACACACACACACACCCGCTCCTCTGAACGGCCTCCACCTTACTATTTGCTTCTTTCAGATGTTCTTGCCATTCACATGCTGGATCTCGTTAGAAAGCAGGCAGAATTTTAAAATTATGCAGGCAAAGCTAATTTCCACAGGGGTTCTTTGCATTGGGTTGGGTGGGGGCACTTCCCCCTGGTTTTCCTATGGCCAGCCTTTCCTCACTCAGGCCTCTGCTCACCTGCACCCTGCACCTGTGGGCTCTGCCTTCCAAGCCCAGCCCTGCTCCCACCTCGGTGACCACCATCCCTGTTATCTCTTGCTTGGAAGGTGGCAGCTGCCTTCTCACGTCTCTTGTGAGATGTGAGACGTGCCCCATCCTTGTCCCCACAGCCCAGTACTCACATGGCGGCCACAGGCCATAACACTGAGTCTGACCGTCCTCTTCTCCCACCCCGGGCTCATAGCCTTCCTGTTCCTCCAGCAGCCACCTCTGCCATTTACAAATCTTCATGTGTGCTGTGACCACCCAGAATGTTCTTCCCAGCTCCCTGCCTAGCATCCTCGCCCCCGCTTGGAGTCTGGCCCTTCTGGACCACATCACTCGCCACCACACCCCACCCCCAGTCTCAGTTCTTCAGAGCACTAGCCTTGCCCTATGATGGTTTCCCCACTGACCATTATCTGTGCTGTAGTGTTCACTCCACAAAGGCTGGCATGCAGGAGGCACTTAATGAATGCACACAGATAGCTCTGTTGACAATTAGGGTTAAGGATAGGAGGGCAAGGACAGATGCTATAAAGATGACAGGGTGGCCTCCCTGAGAGGCTGACGCTGAAGACGGTGTTTCTAGGCCAGGGCAGGAGGCACGAGGCCCCCATGGGCTGTGGGAGACCTTCATGGCTGAAGCCAACTGTAACCAGGCCAAGAGGTGATGGTGGGTGATGAAGGGCCTGAATACTGAGGAGCAAAGACATTCTCCTCCCACATTCTCACATGGCCAGAGGCCATCATTTATCCATTCAGCCACTGATTAATTCATTCAACAATATCTCCTAAACATATGCCCAACCCAGAGCTGGATCACAGGGAAGACAGGAAGTTCCATCCCCCTGATGGAGCTTCCCTGTTACCAGAGGACACAAACACACATCTGCATGTTGATCTAGTAAGAGCTAGGGAGGTGGGTCAGGCCAAGAAAGAGGCAGAGGATGCCTGTGAGGTTGCCAGCCTCCAAGGTGGCCCCAGCAATCCTCACATTCCAGGTCATGCCCTTGTGTAGACTCCTCCCAGTCAATCAGGCTGGTCTGTGTGGCCAGTGAAGTGTGGCAGGGGTGACGGTGTGACTTCTGAGGCTGGGTCACAGAGGCATCATGGTTTCAGCCTTGCATCTTCAGATAGCTTGTTCTGGGGCTGATCAGCCACCATATTGTAAGGATGCTCAACCTGCCTTGCAGAGAGCCCTGTGTGGAGAGGAACTAGGCCCCCAGCCAACAACCAGCAGTGACTCACTGTGAGAGAGGGAATCATCTTGGAAGTGGATCCTAAGCCCCAGTAGAGACTTCAGATGAGACCTCAACCCTGGCTGACATCTGACTGCAGTGGCATAAGAAACCCTGAGTCAGAACCACCCTGCAAAGCCCAAATTCTTGACCCACCAAGTGAAAGAGAATAAATGGCGATTGTTGTGTTTGAACTCCCATGTTTTGGGGTAATCAGTTCCAAGGCAATAAATAACTAATGTACTATTCATCTGAGCAGAGGCCTAGCTGCACTGAGGAAGCCAGATGATAGCTGGGGAAGTGTTCCAGATGAAACAGGGCACGCAGGAGCCTCAAGGCAGAAGTGAACCTGCTGTGCCTGAGAGACAGCCAATGTGATGTTGTGGCTGGAGTGGAGCAAGGGGAACAATAACAGGGAGTGACTGGGCATATTAGGCCGGGTCACACAGGCCAGGCAGCTAGGAGCCCATGGTTTGGGGGCTGTAAGCTGGGGGAAGGGCATGGTGATTTGCTCTGATTTACATATTTTAACAATCCTCTGTATACACAAAATAACTAAAAGCAGGGTCTCAAAGGAGATATCTGCACACTGATTCACAGTAGCCAAGAGGTGGATACAACCCAAGTGTCCATCAAGAGATGAATGGGTAGGCTGGGCGGTGGCTCACATCTGTAATCCCAGCACTGTAGGAGGCCGAGGTGAGTGGATCACTTGAGGTCAGGAGTTTGAGACCACCCTGGCCAACATGGTGAAACTCCATCTCTAGTAAAAATACAAAAACTAGCTGGGCATGGTGGCAGGCGCCTGTAGTCCCAGCGACTCAGGAGGCTGAGGCAGGAGGATCACTTGAACCCGGGAGGCGGAGGTTGCAATGAGCCAAGATCATGCCACTGCACTCAAGCCTGGGTGATGGAGTGAGACTGCATCTCAAAAAAAAAACAAAAAAAAACAAAAAAAAAACAGGTGAAAGGATACACAAAATGTGGCCTTATTCAGCCTTAAAAAGGAAGGAAATTCTGACCCATTCTACAGCAAAGGTGAACCTTGAGGACACCATGCAAAGTGAAATAGTCTAGTTACAAAAAGACACATACTGCGGGACTCCACGTATGCAAGGTATCTAAAGTAATCAAACTCATAGAAACAGAAGACTGGATGGTGGCTGCCAGGCACCTGGGGGAGGAGGGAATGGGGAATTAGTGTTCCATGGGGACAGAGTTTCCGTCTGGGAAGATGAAAAAGTTCTAGAGATCGATGGTGGTGACAGATGCACAGCAACGCGAATGCACTTAATGCCACTGACCTGTTTACCTAAAACGATTAAAATGGTAATCACACCTGTAACCTCAGCACTGTGCAAGGCCAAAGCAGGAGGATCACTTGAGGCCAGGAGTTCAAGACCAGCCTGGGCAACATAGTGAGACCCTGTCTGTACAAAAAAAAAAAAAAAAGTAAAACAGTTAGCTGGGCATGGTGGCACGTGTCTGTAGTCCTAGCTACTTGGGAGGCTGAGGTGGGATCCCTTGAGCCATGGAGGTAGAGGTGGCAGTGAGCTATGATCACGCCACTGTACTCCAGCCTTAGTGACAGAGCAGACTGTCTCAAAAGAAAAGTTACACTTTTCGTGTATTTTGCCATAATTTACAAAACAAACCTTCTGGTAGCTGTGTGTAAGTTGACTGGTCGGGGGCTTGACTGGAGGCAGGGAGACCATGAGGAGGCCACTTTCATGGTCCAGGTGAGAGGCCTGAACAGGACAAAGGTGCTTCTCCCTCCCACAGCTCTGAGGTGAGGAGGAGGGGGGGATTCTGGATGAAGTTTGAGGATGCACCAAAGGACTTGCCGGAGGATTGGCTGTGGGGCCTGAGAGAAAGGGAAGGGCTCTGGCCTGGGGGTAGGGAAGGAGGGAGGAAAACTGAGTTCTGCTCTGTCCATGCTGAGTTTGAGATGTCTGGGGTCATCCAAATCTGAGCTCTGGGACTGCCTGACCAATAGAACATCGTGCTAGGCTCAGGCCTCACAGAGCCAGCAGCTCCCACTTGCTGTCTCTCGGGCTGCTCACTCTTGAAATCCAGTGAGTGAACACGCATCTGGGAGATTCTGCCCCGGCCACTATCTGACTGCAACCACATGTGAGAGGCACCAGCCAGAACCACCTAGCTGCGCCCAGCAAGCCCTCAGAACCAGGAGCACACAGGATAACATGGCGGCAGCGGCTGCTGCTTTAAGCCACTGAGTTTTGGATTGATCCACTGTATAGCAATAGAAAAATGAAACACATAGGTAACCAAGTTGTTGAGAATTGGTTCAGGAGACATGATTTTTTTCCCCAGTCACTTACGTTCTACTGAGTAAAGATGTCTCCTTTTAACACCTTAAGCTAATTCTCTAACTTTTCAGCCCCTTCTGGTTATCAGAATGGCACCATTCCTGCATTTAAGGCTGAGTCACGTTTCTTTGATAACTTAGCTTTCATCCCGACTGAAAAACATGGGTCTCGCCAACACCGAATTTGAAAGACAGCTGAGACCCCAGTGGTCTGGAGACGACAAGGATACCATCGTAGCCTGGATGTTGCTCGCGGCTGTTTCCCCACTCCTTTACCACCCCTGGAGAGGGACCCCCGGTGACTTTGTGGTGTGGCTTAGTCTGATCCACACATTATGAACAGAAGCGATGTGTGCTCCCTCCAGGCCAGAGCATTTAATTGCTGGTGCAAGTACCGCTTACCCTTGTATCCTCTTCCGTCCTAGGCCTAGCACAGAGGCCGTGAGTCTGTGGATTGTATCCTCTTCCCCTGCCATGAGACTGTGGACTCCCACACTGGAATGGGGGCTCCTCCACCAGCCGGGGTCCCTGGTGACTGTATGGAGTGGAGCCCACCCCTGCCAATCCAGCCGGGACACAGAGTGCAAGTGGGAAATAAACTTGGTTGTCTGACCCCCGAGATTCAGGGGATTGTTCGTTTCAGTCGCATAACCTCACTAGTCCTGATGGACACAATAATAACAAAAGTTACTGATTTTTGAGCTGAGGTGAGTGTGGGAATGTGCCATGTGGCCAGCAAGGGCCAAGCGTTCCAGGCAGTGGGAACAGCGTGTGCTAAGGCCTTCAGTGGGAGTGAGCGGGGTGTCCAGGAAAATCAGAGCAGTTGGTGGTCCCTTTTCTTTGTTCCCAGTACTAGTGGGAATTGGGCCTCTAGGGTTTTTTGGGGAGATTTGGGGCCAGCTCCTTGCCTTGGGAGCAAGGTGAAGGGAGAGCTGGCCCCAAATCTCCCCAGAAAAATCCTAGAGGCCCAGAGAGCCAAATCCTCTTACATGCATTGTCAGACCAATCGTGCAGGAGTACTCGGCTCTCTGCTCCCCGGCTGTACCATCTCTCGGTCCAGCTGAGACCCCTAGGCCATGGCGCAGACGTGGGGGGATCCAGCATGCTGCACTGTGAGGGGCTCATGCCCCACAGCTCCCCTGGGCAATGGCTCTGTGCTGCCACGCCCCATGTCATTTCCTCCCCTCTGGCCCCCCTGCCCAGTGCAGCCCCTCCATGGCCATCTGGACACCCATTTCTGTAACTGTCAGCTACTGGGAGCTGGAGCCCTTCACCCCAGTTCTCCTGTTCTCTGCTCCAATAGCCCAGGGTCAGCCACCTGGGCGCAAAACACCCATCTCCCTTTGCAGGCCCCTCAAATTTCAAGGGAGGCCTCTGGGCTCCCCTTAGCTCCAGCCACCTGGCCTGTCCTGTCCTGCATGGTGGTGATCTACAGCCTCCACCTACCTGGTCCCACCTCACAATGGGGGTTAGTGGTAGAAAGGGCTGAATGGGGACTAGAACTTAGAACAGGAGAGCCCGGAGCCTTTTGTCAACAGCGCCAAACCTTGGTGCTGCTTAAGTCCTTTAAGGAGCTAGAAGTGATTCAATATCCCTGGTATCCAGATCAGTGGTGGCAGCCTGGGCCTATGGGCCACCGTCAGCCCTGACCCTGACCGTATCCAGATCAGCGGTGGCAGCCTGGGCCTGTGGGCCACCGCCAGCCCTGACCCTGACCGTATCCAGATCAGCGGTGGCAGCCTGGGCCTGTGGGCCACCGCCAGCCCTGACCCTGACCGTATCCAGATCAGCGGTGGCAGCCTGGGCCTGTGGGCCACCGCCACCACCAACCCTGACCCTGACCTGCTGCTTAGCCTACCGGTCCCCAGAGGCCTGCAGCCAAGAGGCACCACTTCCCACTCCCATAAAAGCCAAGCAGAGGCAGGGCGCGGTGGCTCACGCCTGTAATCCCAGCACTTTGGGAGGCCCAGGCCGGCGGATCACAAGGTCAGGAGATCGAGACCATTCTGGCTAACACGGTGAAACCCCGTCTCTACTAAAAATACAAAAAAAATCAGCCAGGCGGGGCGGCGGGCGCCTGTAGTCCCAGCTACTTGGGAGGCTGAGGCAGGAGAATGACGTGAACCTGGGAGGCAGAGCTTGCTGTGAGCTGAGATCGTGCCACTGCACTCCAGCCTGGGCGACAGAGCGAGACTCCATCTCAAAACAAACAAACAAACAAACAAACAAACAAAACACAACAAACAAACAAAAAAGTCAAGGACAGCTCTCCTGAGCCTGTCAGGAGCCCCAGCAGAGGAAAGCTGCACTGGGCTGGTGAGGGCTGGATCCGTGCTTCCCTGCCTCAGTGTCCCTTTGTGCCCACAGAGGCCCTGAGACGCTCCAGCACTTGACAGGAAACCGCCAGGCACAGTCTCTGGCCTCACGATCCCGCTCCAGGAGTCCACCCAAAGGAAACGGCATCCCAGTATCAAGGTGTCTAGAAATGTGAAGGCCAGAAACGTGAAACCACCCAAGCATCCCTTGGCTGGGGATGTGTCACATAAATCATGGGACACCTGTCAGATGGACAACTTTGTGCAGCGCGAATCAGGAAAGTATCTGGTTCGAAGGGACATGACAAGTGTAGCTTCAGTCTGCAAGGAGCCATGCAGAGTAAGGGCTTCTTCCTCCCGACCTTTGGCTCCTCTTCCTCATGGCCCCAACGTGGCTGCTGGGCTTCAGGCAGGAAGCAGGAGAGATCAAAGGGCAAACCCAGTGGCTTTTCTCAATGGCCAGAGACAGGTCACACCCCGAATTATGGGAGGCTGAAGGTGTAGTTTTAACTGGCCCGGGACAAATGGGGGGCACAGAGGTGAGAGAGAGGGTAGGGCGGAGAGCTACAGAATGAGCTCTGAGTTCATTTTAAGTAGAAGCAAACAACAGGTGCAGCAGCAGGCAGAAATGGCTAAAACCACGCCTGCAGTAGGCATGGCTATGTACACACAGGCCTGCAATACAAATAACCCCTCTGGGAGTGAAGCTGGGAGAGGAAGAAATTAGTCTTTTTTTTTTTTGAGACGGAGTTTCACTCTTGTTGCCCAGGCTGGAGTGCAATGGCACCATCTCAGCTCACTGCAACCTCCGCCTCCCAGGTTCAAGCAATTCTCCTGTTTCAGCCTCCCAAGGAGCTGGGATTACAGGAGCACGCCTCCATGCCCAGCTAATCTTTGTACTTTTAGTAGAGACGTGGTTTCATCACATTGGTCAGGCTGGTTTCACACTCCTTACCTCAGGTGATCCGCCCGCCTCGGCCTCACAAAGTGCTGGGATTACAGGTGTGAGCCACCGTGCCCGACCAAAATTAATCACCTTTTATAAAATTGCTTTGACAAGTGATTGGGTTAAAGGTGACTGTGATGCTTGAACCCCGGAGGCGGAGGTTGCAGCGAGCCAAGATCGCGCCACTGCACTCCAGCCTGGGCGAGAGTAAGACCTTGTCTCAGAAAAAAAAAAAAAAAAAAGGTGACTGTGATGGTTGTAAAGTGTGTCTGCCAATTGTCTTCTCACCAGTCAGCACTCTTCCCACCTAGCAGGGGAGTCCAACTCTCCACCCCTTGATTAGAAGGCCCACTCGACTCCCAGTGAACAGACACAGCATGACTTCTGAGGCCGGGACCTGAAAGGCAAAATGACCTCCACCTGGTGCTCACATTGCAACTCCACCTTGAACACTGGCTGCCATGTTGTGAGGAAGCCCAGGCCACGAGGCTGCCACATGGGGGTGCTATGGCTGTGAAATAAAATCTTAAGCCCCACTGACTGACTGAATGGACCTGTTTTGGCCAAGGAGACCTGGCCGTGACTAAGACACGTCAGTCACGCCACAGTATGCTCCTTCCTCACTAATCAATACCAGATTTTTTTCTTCAGAGCTGAACAGAAACTAGTCCTGAAAACAAACAAAAAAAGGGAAGTCTCCTCTGCAGACTCTAACATCAACCAACCTTTATATTTTTCAGTATTAGATATAATGATGTAGTTTTACTTCATACCCCTCATCTGCACTTTTACAGACAACAGATGCAGAACCGTCCATGGGTCCTTCCTTGGAAGCTTCCTTCCTGTGGAGGAAGATGTTGAGGTAGCCATCTGTAGTTGCTGGAAAGAAGTTTATTGCTATTTTCTTATGTTATTATACAAAACTAGATTTGCTTAAAACATTTCCCAGTCTCTTTAAAAGAATACTAGTTAGTGGGAGGCCACAGCTGGTAAATTACCCTCAGTAGTAGTTTCAAGTAGTCCATAACTATAAAACTCGTTACAGCCAGGATATGTCGGAACAGAACACTCCCGCTGGGGTCCTCAGCCTTGGATGTCAGCTCGGCCCCCCAAGGGGTCCCTACACCTGGAAGCTGATTCCACTCATTAGTCTCGAGCTGGACGCATGTGGAGTTCACGTGGAGTTGCAGCTGACTGGCTGGTGGGGTGAGTCTGGCCTCCCATTGTGGAGCATGGGTGCCAGCCTCACTGCACCGTCACCCTAGGGCATACGCTGCGGGCTTTTGTGGCATTCCTGTGGCCAGCCCAGAGGCAGGCAGGGGCTGTCTGGGGTTCGCCATATGCACCATCACCTGGGCTTGGGGCGAGCTGGAGGAGCCACTGAGGCTCAGAGCTCTGGGGATCCCAGGGTCCTTGTCCACGCTGCGGGTCACACTGGCCAGCTTGCTGGTGCTCTCAACATGGTCTCTGTGGAGAGAGGAGGCATGAGTTGGCAAAAGAGTGTAGATAGGGTTTAACCCCCAACTCCATACCTTCCCAGGTACCCAGGCCCTGGGCCTTCAGTGGGCCTGGGGCAACTGTCAACCTGAGCACTGGGGAGCTCGCTTCCTCCTGCCAGGAGCTGCCCTGCACCCTAAGGTGCACAGAGGCCATTCCATCTCCCTGCTGGGCCCTGTTGGCAAGTGGGTCCTTCATCCACATAACCAGGGTGTGGCCCAGGAGTCAGACACTCGCCCCTCTAAGGTGTGGGAAGGGACTTCCTGGGACTCATTCAGAGTGTGCAGAAACCACCAGAAACCCAGCTGCCTGGCCAGGGCCTGGGACGTCCCGGGCAGAGGAGGGATGCTGGGGAGAAGGAGGTCAAGGGGAAGACATGTTCCCTCCTGCCAGGCCTGCCTCTTTGGTGGCCAGGAGCTGGATCAACCACCTGCTCCACCCTCAGTCCTCTCGTGGCTCTCTCACCCCCCAGACAAAAACCAAGCCATTCCCCAGGCTGACCAGACCTTGGCCCTGCCCCATCTCCAGCTTCCACGCACACTGGCCTCTGCTCCATGTGGGCTGCCTGGCGGCTCCCACCTCCAGCCGTTTGCCCTTTCCTCCTCTCAGAGGCTGTCTCTCTTCCCTCCCAAAGCAGGCCCTCTTAGTCCTTTCACTTCCGGCATCACCTCTTCCAGGAAGCCTTCCTGGACCACAGCTCCCACCCACAAATATTCTCAGAAAAACTCTAGTAAGTAGTAGGAAATAAGAAATGATCTGCTTATGCAATGAGTAAGTTAAAGAATCAATAACTGGTGGAGACAAAAGGGAGCTTCGGGGAGCCAGGAGCCAGACTGACTTCACCCAGCCTCTTTT